TCAATCACCCTGGAACGTCGAAAATCAACTAAAAATTCTTCTGGACTCGCTCCTCCAGCTTACGGCTGACTCGTAACTGCCCCTGAACTAACTCTGTCACTGCATTCACTTCCCTTATAAGCACTCTGCACTAGTCTCTCACTCTAGTCTAAGTCAAGTCATCACATTGTAACTGACGTTCAGTCATTAAGTCTTGGTGTCGAGCCCCATCTGGAGCTCATGACCAGATATTTATTACTGTTTGACAGTTACAGTCTTGTTTTTGTGGGGGCACTCTATGACGAGAGGACGGGTCTGTATTTTGTATATGCTGCTGGTCATTGCCAGCGCAGTCTTCCTCGAGTCAGAGTCCCTTTGTACTCGCGAATATATTTTACTGTCTCAGATTTGAGACTTCCCTTTTCGTCGCATCCGACGACTCTCAGGGTCACAGTGGAGGTATTCGACCCCGCCTCCACACGGACCGCACAGAAAACACCGCTTCCAACAGTTCTCTTTTTGCATGCGTGTTTGTTGCGGCCATCACAGGACGCCTAGCAACGGGCGTGTTCGCAGAACCATTCCCTAGCAACGGTTATGTCTGCTGGCTTCACAGTTTTGGCTTTCATTCCGCAAGGTTACCTACAGAAGATACGACCGCTCGTCGGTCGTGGAGCAGATGGAATTTATACCAGTATCTGGACTTGACGCGTGAAGATATGTGATCACATACTGTCGAAAGATTTACAGAGCCGGATAATACTGAGTGGGCTACACGGAGTTCACACGGTCCTCTAACACAAACAGCATCTATCATACCAGCCGTCATAATTGTAGTAGTGTCACGAGTGAAGGCAGTACCATGGAGAGTAATTTATAGCAAAACATCACAGGAATGAGGGTTATTAAGATCGTCTGCACACGATTCCTCTTTCCTAAGGGAGAAAGAAAGATGAACGGAATATAGTAGCGTGGGACCCTGTAGTGAAATGATGCTACAGGCAAGTTGACCCCTGTGACCTGACCCTTAAAAGAACCTTTTGCCCTTTACATCCATCGTAAAGTATGTTAAGTATGAGAATTCTCAGGCCCCTCCCCCCTCAACCCGTCTTCTCTTCGGAAATTCCACTGCACTCATGCGCAGCTTGTTTGGCGCCGAGTCGCATTTCGTTGCGTTTCAACAGTTGCATGCGTGTGACATCTATCGATGAGTTGTTAGTTAACTAGGAAGTGGCAAGGGCTGAGATAGTTCAGTCGGTATAGCGGCTATGTTACGGGCTTGGAAGACCGAGAAGTCGGGGTTCAGTTCCTGGCGGGAGTAAGAGTTTTTTTTTCTTCAGTTTTTTGAAGCTTCCTGACTGGCACTGGAGTTCACCCAGCCTCATATAAGATAAGCAACGGCATAGTATTATTATGCAACCGTCAACACAACAAATTCGTAATAAATGAACCGATACTACTGCATTCATCATCATCATCAGTAATCTGTCAGACGACAGGTCCACAGTCTCTTCCAAAACAATTTCTCCACTTATTGCGATCTACAGCTTTCTCCTTCAAATGACAGTATCCTCTTCTGTTCCCAAGGTCATCCAGCATCTTCTTACGTCTTCTTCCTCGTCTTCTTGTCACTTCTATCCGCCCCTCTATCTTTCCTTCAATAACTTCTTTTAGAAGGCAGTTTCTGCGTAAAACATGACCAATCCAATTAGCCTTCCGTTTTCTTATTTCGTGTAGGATATTCCTCTGCTCACTGATTCTAATTAACACTTCTTCATTTCTAACATAATCGGTCCAACTGATCTTCTCCATCCTTCTCCAACACCACATTTCGAAGCTTTCCAGGTGTTTCTGATCTGCTGCCCTAAGTGTCCATGTTTCAGCCCC